TAGACAGACTCGCAGAAATGGTTTTAAGTTGGAAAAATTCAGATTCAGGAAGGATATAGGAAAGTACGGTTTGGTAATAGAGTTGTGATGAGTGGAACAAACTCCCAAGTACCGTTATAGAGGCCAGAACGTTGTGTAGCTTTAAAAATAGGTTGGATAAATACATGAGTAATGTGGGTGGGTGTGAGTTAGACCTGATAGCTTGTGCTAACAGGTCGGTTGCCGTGTTCCTCCCTTAAGTCAATGTGACCTGACCTGACTAGGTTGGGTGCATTGGCTTAAGCCGGTAGGAGACTTGGACCTGCCTCGCATGGGCCAGTAGGCCTTCTGCAGTGTTCCTTCGTTCTTATGTTCTTATGTTCTTATCTCCGTTATGCGTGCCGTGAAAGTTCTCTGTACATTTTCTAGGTCGGCAATTTCACCTGCCTTGAAAGGTGCTGTTAGAGTGCAGCAATATTCCAGCCTAGATAGAACAAGTGACCTGAAGAGTGTCATCATGGGCTTGGCCTCCCTAGTTTTGAAGGTTCTCATTATCCATCCTGTCATTTTTCTAGCAGATGCGATTGATACAATGTTATGGTCCTTGAAGGTAGATCCTCCGACATAATCACTCCCAGGTCTTTGACGTTGGTGTTTTCGCTCTATTTTGTGGCCAGAATTTGTTTTGTACTCTGATGAAGATTTAACTTCCTCATGTTTACCATATCTAAGTAATTGAAATTTCTCATCGTTGAACTTCATATTGTTTTTCCCGCAGCCCACTGAAAGATTTGGTTGATGTCCGCCTGGAGCCTTGCAGTGTCTGCAATGGAAGACACTGTCATGCAGATTCGGGTGTCATCTGCAAAGGAAGACACGGTGCTGTGGCTGACATCCTTGTCTATGTCGGATATGAGGATGAGGAACAAGATGGGAGCTAGTACTGTGCCTTGTGGAACAGAGCTTTTCACCGTAGCTGCCTCGGACTTTACTCTGTTGACGACTACTCTCTGTTTCTGTTAGTAAGGAAATTATAGATCCATCGACCGACTTTTCCTGTTATTCCTTTAGCACGCATTTTGTGCGCTATTACGCCATGGTCACACTTGTCGAAGGCTTTTGCAAAGTCTGTATATATTACATCTGCATTCTTTTTGTCTTCTAGTGCATTTAGGACCTTGTCGTAGTGATCCAATAGTTGAGACAGACAGGAGCGACCTGTTCTAAACCCATGTTGCCCTGGGTTGTGTAACTGATGGGTTTCTAGATGGGTGGTGATCTTGCTTCTTAGGACCCTTTCAAAGATTTTTATGATATGGGATGTTAGTGCTATTGGTCTGTAGTTCTTTGCTATTGCTTTACTGCCGCCTTTGTGGAGTGGGGCTATGTCTGTTGTTTTTAGTAACTGAGGGACGACCCCCGTGTCCATGCTCCCTCTCATAGATGGAAAAGGCTCGTGATAGGGGCTTCTTGCAGTTCTTGATGACACAGAGTTTCATGAGTCTGACCCTGGGGCAGAGTGCATAGGCATGTCATTTATCGCCTGTTCGAAGTCATTTGGCGTCAGGATAACATCGGATAGGCTTGTGTTAATCAAATTTTGTGCTCTCATAAAAAATTCATTTTGATCTTCGACTCTCAGTCTGGTTAGCGGCTTGCTAAAAACTGAGTCATATTGGGACTTGAGTAGCTCACTCATTTCCTTGCTGTCATCTGTGTAGGACCTATCTTGTTTAAGTAGGGCCCAATACTGGACGTTGTTCTCGATTTTGATTTGGCATAGAAGAAATACTTTGGGTTTCTTTCGATTTCATTTATGGCTTTTAGTTCTTCCCGCGATTCCTGACTCCTAAAGGATTCTTTTAGCTTAAGTTCGATGCTTGCTATTTCTCTGACCAGTGTCTCCCTACGCATTTCAGATATATTGACCTCTTTTAGCCGCTCTGTTATTCTTTTCCGTCGCCTGTAAAGGGAGCGCCTGTCTCTTTCTATTTACATCTACTCCTCCTTTTTCTTAGAGGAATAAGCCTTGTGCATACATCGAGTGCCACCGAGTTAATCTGTTCTAGGCATAAGTTGGGGTCTGTGTTGCTTAGTGTATCTTCCCAGCTTATATCGGTTAGGACTTGGTTTACTTGGTCCCACTTTATGTTTTTGTTATTGAAGTTGAATTTGGTGAATGTTCCCTCGTGACTAGTCTCATTTTGTCGGTCTGGGGCTCCACGCAATACTGTCTGAACCTCAATTATGTTGTGATCTGAGTATATTGTTTTTGATATGGTGACATTTCTTATCAGATCATCATTGTTAGTGAAGATGAGGTCTAGTGTATTCTCCAGTCTAATAGGCTCTATTATTTGCTGGTTTAAATTGAATTTTGTGCAGAGATTTAAAAGCTCGTGTGAGTGTGAGTTTTCATCAGAGCTGCCTCCTGGTGTTATTACTGCAACAATATTATTTGCTATATTCCTCCATTTTAGGTGCCTTAAGTTGAAATCCCCCAGGAGCAAGATGTTGGGTGCAGGAGCTGGAAGATTTTCCTGACAGTGGTCAATTTTTAACAGCTGTTCCTGGAATTGCTGGGATGTTGCATCCGAGGCTTGTAGGCTACCACAAATGACTAGGTTTTGGTTCTCGACCTTTACTGCTAAAACTTCCACTACATCATTTGAGGCATTAAGCGTTCTGTGCAAACAAGTGACTCTGCAATGTACAGGCCAACCCCCCCTTTTGCCTGTTCACTCTGTCACATCTGTATAGGTTGTAACCTGGGATCCATATTTCGTTGTCCAAGTGATCCTTTATGTGGGTCTCAGTGAAAGCCGCGAACATTGCCTTTGCCTCTGCAAGCAGTCCACGGATGAAAGGTATTTTGTTGTTTGTTGCTGGCTTTAGACCCTGTATATTGCAAAGAAGAATGTTATCGGACTGGTGGTATTGTTGGTACTGGGGGGGGATTTATTTTCCGGCATTAGTATCTGTATCTGTTGGTTTGGAGTGGAGGCCATCGACTGTGGTTCCACTCCAGGAATGACTGGATTTGGTGTACATTTCTGCCATTTCCTGCCAGTTTTTTTTTTCCTTCCTGGCACTAAAAACCTCTCCCTCTGAGTGGCTGTGGCTACCCAGGTTTTCCCATGGCCTGGATGTTTTGTATCTTTTTGTCCCGTTTAGATGGTATGCCTGGCAATTTAAGTTATAGCACAGTCTTTCCTGTACTGAAGAGGTACACATTCAGGGTGAAAAAGCTTACAGAAGGGAGTTTGCATTTTCCTGTTGTCATATGGGCATGGCATTTTCTAGGGTGGTCATAGTTGCATGTCCCATCTGTTTTTTCCAGATTTCCCATGCCAGCAGATACCGAGTGCATAGTATGTGCACAGGCTTGGTTTCCGCTTGCCTTGGGTTTCTGTGACTGTATTCCCTGTTGGTGCATGTTTCCCTGTCTTACTTCTATCATCCCTAGCACCAACATGGAGCTCCCACCAGTTGTTTTTGGTAATTTATCCTCAGTATTGCTATTGGAGTCCTCTTGTTTGCTATTTCCTGCGTATTTCTAGTTTGCAATATTGGTTTTATCTTATCTTTGACTACACTTGTTTCCCTACTATGGCTCCTGTCCCCTATGAGGTCATTTATATGTATTCCTTCCTGCGTATAATTCCCGACTACCTGGACAAATTCTCCAGCTTCACCATTACTGTCTCCCAGGACAGCACCTCCAGCTTCACCATTACTGTCTCCCAGGACAGTATCTCCAGCTTCACCATTACTGTCTCCCAGGACATTATCTCCCAGCTTCACCATTTCTGTCTCCCAGGACAGCACCTCCCGCTTCACCATTACTATCTCCCAGGACAGCACTATCAGCCCACATTTACTGACTACCAGGACATCACCTCCAGCCTTACAGTTTGTGACTACATGGCCAGTATCAAGGGCAGTACCATTCAGCCCAGACTTTTTATGTTCCCATCTGTTGTAGAAAGCTTCCAGGTTTTCTATGAAAGCAGCTTTGATGTTGTCCTCTTTTAATACCCTTGTGATTTTAGTCCACAAGATTTTCCTCATTTGGGCATACCCAAAAACACTTCTCTGTTTTAATACTGCTTGTAGCTAGTTCTGGGATATCTGCACAAGGGGCGTGACACCAATTTCCACAAAAATGACAATTTATCCATGTGGAAGCCCGTTTGTTTGACTGACCACAGACTACACACAGCTTCATAATGATTTGAATGGTTGATTTACTGCAATTCTACTAGCAACCTCTTGAATATTCTATTAGTCAGGCCGTGGAATAGCCTAGAAAGTGACGTAGTGGAGGCGGGAACCATACATAGTTTTAAGGCGAGGTATGATGGAGCTCATGGGGCAGGGAGAGAGAAGACCTAGTAGTAATCAGCGAAGAGGCGGGGCCAGGAGCTATGACTCGACCCCTGCAACCACAAATAGGTGAGTACAGTACATAACTAGCACCATCACACACAGTAAGACACAGTACACAACTAGCATCATCACACAGTAAGACACAGTACACAACTAGCATCATCGCACACAGTAAGATACAGTATACAGGTAGCACAATCACACACATTAAGACACAGTACATAACTATCACCATGACACACAGTAAGACACAGTACACAACTAGCATCATCACACACAGTAAGATACAGTACACAGCTAGCACCATCACACACATTAAGACACAGTACACAACTAGCACCATCACGAAAAGTAAGACAGTACACAACTAGCATCATCACACACAGCAAGACGCAGTACATAATTATTAACATCATCACACACAGTAAGACGCAGTGCACAACTAGCACCATCACACAGTAAGGCAAAATACACAACTAGCACCATCACACACAGTAAGACGCAGTGCACATCTAGCATCATCACATCCAGTAAGACACAGTACGCAACTAGCATCATGACACACAGTAAAACACAGTACACAACTAGCTTCATCACCCACAGTAAGACACAGTACAGAGAGTAACACTTACTGAGCCACTCAAGTTGATGTAGTGTGGAGGTGACAATGTGGTGTAGTTGTGGCAGGAGACAACCAGCATGGTGGTCACTCACCACAGCCAGGCGGAGGTACCTCAGGTTGTGACACTCCCTCAGTAGTCTGATTCCTCTACCAGTAAGACCACCAGTGAACACCTCCAGGCGACTCCTGTACCATGATAAAACACTGATAAACACTTCACTTTTACCGACTCACCATCTACACTGTATAGTACACCAAGTGGTAGTGAACAATGTTACACTGTATAGTACACCAAGTGGTAGTGAAGAATGTTGCACTGTATATTACACCAAGTGCTAGTGAACAATGTTACACTGTGTATTACACAAAATGGTAGTGAACAATGTTACCCTGTATATAACACAAAGTGGTAGTGAAAAATGTATATTACCCCAAGGGGTAGTGAAAAATTTTTACACTGTTATTACCCCAAGGGATGACAATTTTACACTGTGAATTCAAAAAAGGAGGAACAATGTTACCCCTGTTATAACACAAAGTGGTAGTAACAATGTATTTACACAAGGGGAGTGAACAATTTTACACTGTTATTAACCAATTGGTAGGAACAATGTTACACTGTTATTACACCAAAATGGAAATGAACAATGTTACCTGTATTACAAAAAAGGAGGAAACAAGTTTTATATAACACAAAGGGGTAGTAACAATGTACACGGTATTCCCCCAAGGGGTATAAACATTTTTACATTTAAAATTACACCAAGTGGATGAACAATTTTCAAGATATTCCCAAAAAAGGGAGGAACAATGATATTACCCCCAATGTATGAACAATGTTACACTTATTTTTAAACCAATGGTATGAACAATTTACCTGTATTTTTTAACAAGTGGATGAAAAATGTTAACCCCTTTTACTTACCCCAAGTTGGAAAGTGAACAATTTTACACTGTATATTTAAACCAATGGAATGAACAAAGTTACACTGTATTTTAAACCCAAGTGATGAACAAGACCTGTATATTACACCAAGGGAAAATGAACTTTAATTTGTTTAAAAAACCAAGTGGTATGAACAATGACATGTATATTAAAAGTTTGTAACAAGTTAACTTTTTATAATCCCAAGGGTAGTGAAAAAAATGTTCCCCTTTTAATTTTTACCCCAAGTGGGGGAAACAATGTTCCATGTAAAACCCCCAAGGGAAAGAACAATGACTTTTTTTTCCCAAGTGGGTGTGAACAATGTTAACTGTTTTTACACCAAGGGAGTGCAATGTTCACTGTGATACCCTTTGGTGGAAAAATTTTTTACTTTGTTATTACACAGTGGTAGTGAACAGTGTTTTTTAAAAAGTAATTTGTACAATTTTAAGGTTTTCACCAAAAAAAATTTAACAAGTTACACTGAAATATTACACCAAATATAGTGGAACCATGTTAACGTTTATAAAACCAATGGTGAACTTTACACGTTATTTAACCAAGGGGTATCTGAACACTTGCAACCCCAATGGAAAGTGAACAATTTCCCAATTCACAATGAGGGGGGGGATTTAAAAGGGTAGTGAAAAATGTTCACTTTATTACACCTTTGGGGGTAAAAAGTTCACTGTTTTTCCCAAATGGAAAATGAAAAAATGTTTCCTGGGAATTTACACCAAAATGGTAGTGAAAAAAGTTAAAAGTTTTTTCCCCAATTGTAGTGAAAAAGTAAAAAACTTTTTCAAATTAGTAAAATTTTCATGTGTTTACAACCCGGGTATAACAATGTTCCCCGTAAATTTAACAAGGGTATGGCAGTGTTTAATTACACCAAGGGGAGTGAAAAATGTTAAACTTTTTACCCAAGTGTAGTAACCCTTGGCCTAAAACCCAAAATGTAGTCTTTCAATTTTTCCCCAGGGGAAACAATGTTTCCCTTTAATTTACCCCCAAATTTGGTGGGGACTGTTTAAAACTTAAATATCCCCAAATTTTGGTTAAACAAGACCCCCTGTAACAAAGTTAAAAAAATTTTACACTGTATATTACAACAAGTGTATAAAAAATTTGTTAAAACTAAATTAAAACCAAGTGGAGTGAAAAATTTTAATTAACAAAAAGTGGATGAAAATGTTACACTGTATATTCACCTTGCGTGAAAAAGCACTGATTTCCCAAGTGTAAGTTTAAACATTTTAAAGGATAAAAATACCAATTTAGGTAAGCCAATAAAACGTTAATACTTTTTTAAACTTTCGCCTACAATACCCTTTTGTGTACGAAAGTTTTAAAAAAGAACAAACGTTGAATTTTTCCACACCCTTAAATTTTAGTTCACCCCTAAAACGAAAAAGAACTTTTCCAAATATGAAACAATAGGGAGAAGAAGTGACAAATGGAGTTTTTAACCCGGGGTGGACGTACCACAGGAAGGGGGGAAGAACCCCCATTTGAAGGCAGGTCCTCTCAAAACCCCCCCTCAAATTTAAGTTGTAAATTTGATTCATCGTCCAAATACCCTGTTCATTTTTAAGATTAAACTTAAAATGGTAATAAAACCCGCAATTGTAAAAGAAAAAATTGCAACATTGGTATTTTTTATTAAACTTTCGCCTACCGTACTTTTCATCAATACGAAAATTATAAAAGCGAAGATACTGAAAACGATTAAAATTTCAGTCCATCACCCTTAAATTTTTTTAGGGGGTCCTCCCCCCATTGGAAAGAACATGTTCCCAAAGAAACAAAGGGAAAAATTAAGGATGGAGCTTTTTTAAGCGCCAAAGGGGTAAACTAGGCCACTGGAGGAAAACCAGATTTTGAAGGTGCCCCCAACCACCCCTCTTTCATTAGGGGGAATTGTCAAATTTTGACAGGTCTGTCCCAAGATACCCTTTTTGAGGGGGGTTTTTGAAGATGACCTTAAAATGGTTAAAATACCGCCCTTTTAGGTAAACCCCATTCACATTTAGGTTCTTATTAGAAAAGTTTCCCCTCCAATTTTTGGGACTGACCACCCCAAAATTTTAAAGGGGTGAGGGACTGATTACACGTCTTCAAGTATCTTTTTGCTTCTATCAATTTTCCCTTATTTGACTGAAAAAGCCTACGGTTAGGCAAACTTTTCATAATAAAGATACCAACTTTTAAATGTTTTACCTAACAACCGTCGTATTTAAAAACCATTTTAAGTTCAATCTGTCAAACCCTGCAACCAAGGGTATTTGGTACAGACCTTCAATCCTTCGACAACTTCCCCAAATGAGAGGGGCTGGATTTAAAGGGGGGACCTGACCTCTCAACATCATTTTCCTTACCTCTCCTATGGCCTACCCCCTTTTTCGCTAAAAAAGCTCCACCCTTTCACTTTTTCTCCATATTGTTTATACTATGGAACAATGCTCTTCTCCAGACTGGGGGACCCCCCCCCAAAAAATTTTAAAAGGGTGAGGGGACGTTTAAAAAAAATCGTTTTAAATTCTTCTGCTTCTATCAACTTTTCTGTACTTGACTGAAGAAGCCATGTTAGGCAAAACGTTTAATAATAAAGAATAACTGTTGCATATGTCTTACCTAACAACCTGTGGGATTTATACCATTTTAATGTTCAATCTGTCAACAAGCACACGGGGGTATTTGGTACAGCCCTGCATCAACTTCGACAACTTCCCTAATGAAAGGGCGGGTTTTGAAGGGCCTGACCTCTCAACATCTGAGTTCTTACCTCCCCTAGGGCCTACTCTCCCCCTTTTTTGGCGCTAAAAAGCCACCTGTCACTTTTTCTCCATATTTTTTCATACAGGAAAACAATGCCTCTTCTCCAACTGAGGGACTGACCACCTCAAAATTTTAAAGGGGGATGGCGATTACATCGTCTTAAAGTATCTTCTGCTTCATCAATTTTCTGTACTTGACTGAGAACCCTACTGGAGGCGAAACTTTCATAAAAAAGATACCTAACTGTTGCATATTGCCCTTACCTAAAAAGGTTGAGAACAATGTTATAAGATGTTAAACAAAGGGGTAATTACAATTATTACAATTAATACAATCAATAATTGTTTATTTAAAATTTTAAAGTGATTTACAGGTTTAAAATAAAGTGATTTAAAAGGGTATAATAAAGTGATTTTATATGGAAAATAAAAATGATCTTATATGGGTAAAATTAAGGACTTACAGGGGTAAAAAAAGTGATCTAAATGGGTATAAATAAAAATTTTACTTTTGGGATAAAAAGGATCTTAAGGGTATAATATAAGTGACTTAAGGGTAAAAAAAAGTGATCTTACTGGGTATAAAAAAAGTGATCTTAAGGGGTATAATAAAAGTGATCTTAAGGGTATAATAAAAGTGATTTTACATGGGTTATAAAGTGATCAAAAGGGGGTATAAAATAAGTGATCTTACAGGGGTATAAATAAGTATTTACATGGGAAAAATATAAGGATCTTAAAGGGAAAATTTAAAGTGATTTTACAGGGGAAATATAATGACTTAATGGTATTATTGATTTTACATGGGATAATAAAAGTATCTTACAGGGAAAAATTTAAAAGGGATCTTAATGGGAAAAAAAGGGAATTTTACAGGGGAAAATAAGTGACTAATGGGAAAATAAAGTGATCTTAAATGGTAAAAAGGTTTTACTCACTTCCCACTTCAGGTTTGTGCAACTTTTAAAATAAATATAAAGACTTCAGGTGTGGCAAATTAAATAAGGAAACTTCATGGTTAACTTTAATAACTAAAAAAACTGTGCGGTGTGCAACTTCCCACAATAAAATCAAAGACGTGCAGGGGGGTGCAACTTTCCCACAAAAACACACAAAACTGTGCAGGGGGGGTTGCAACATTCCCCCAATAAAACAAAGACTTGCGGGTGGTGCACATTCCCCAATAAACATCACAAACTGTGCAGGTGGTGCAACTTTCCCCAAAATACACAAGACGTGCGGGGGTGCAACTTCCCACAAAAAACAACACAAACGTGCAGGTGGTGCAACTTCCCACATAAACACCAAGACTTTGCAGGGTGCAACATTCCCAAAATAAACACACAAACTGGCAGGGGGTGCAACATCCCCCAATAAACAGCACAAGAGTGCGGGGTGCAACACCCACAAAAACGCACAAGACGTGCAGGTGTCAACACCCACAAAAAACACACAAGACTGTGCAGGGGGGTGCAACACCC